ACCTGTTTTCTATACAGCAGTCAGAGCGACCTGCTTCTGTTTGTCTTTGCTGGACCTCGAATATGGGGAGGTGCAAGCCACCTCTCTTGTTTTATTCTATCAATCCCCCTTTACTCCCTGTCTGCTCTCCCCCATAGGCACCACTCTAATGTGATTGATATAAGTTCTTACCTATGCATGTGTGCTTATAAAATATGTAGGGTTGTATACTTGTTTCCTATTGCTGCTGTAACAAATCACCACGAATTTAGTGGCTTAAAACAGTACAAATTTATTCTTACAGGTCTGGGGGTCTGAATTCTAAAATTTGGTCTGGTTCCATTCCTTCTGAGGCTTCAGAGGAGAATCTGTTTGCTTGCCTTTTTCAGCTCCGAGAGGCTGCCAGCATTCCTTAGCTTGTGACCCCTTCTTCCATCACTCTAACTGGAATAAGGAAGAACCTTTTGTATTCTGTTACAAGTTAATCACTAAAGGGATGTTGCCTATAAGCTTAAATTATACATAATGGCCCATCTCTGGAAACCCTGCTCCCCAGGTAATGAGCATTAAGCTAAAATACCTTTGTTTAGCTCACAGGAAACATCTTGACCAGGTCCACCTGTGAATGACTGCAGGGAGGAAGAAATGAACACATCCCCTCATGAGGCAGATGGGAACCAGGAAGCATTTGACTTTATTCCCTCCCCTTTTAGTATAAAAGGAGCCTGAATTCTAACTCGGGCGAGATGGTTCTTTGGGGGCACAAACCCACCATCTTCTCGGCTTGCGCAATTGCTATCTGGTCATGGAAACCGTAGGACAATTGAAGCCACGAGTAAGAGGAAACTGTGAGTCAGCAAGAGCCAGGGCAGAGGGTGAGGTCATTTGCTTATTGTGACAGGAGCAGTTGAAGCAGTAGGAGCACCGGTCAGGGAGCCTTGTGCTCCTGCCGTGGATGGGGCTTCCTGTCACCTGTCATGCTCCGTGAGGCCTGACGGGGCTGCAGAGCCCGTGTCACACAGGTGTTTCTGGGTTCCTGTGAAATGACTCCCACTCCACCCCAGGCAGCTGCAATTCTTGTCCCCCTTATTTCTACGTGTAACTTCACAATGAACTCCCCTTTGCTTGAGATATTCATTTAGTCTCTCTTCTTCACAACTCAGATAACTGAACCCCCTTTTCCACGCACGGCAGGTGGCCCCTAAGGAATTATTCCACTACAAGAGTGGGCACCTCCCTGGGGTCCAGGATACCCACCACAACTGGTTCGCTCTAGGAACTGCTAAGTAAATGTGGTCACGTCCTCACTTTTGAGGTGACCTTCTTACAGATGACATGAAAACTACTTCCCCTCTTCCAACAAGCAGAATACAATAAAGTCAATACGGTATAGGCTTTCTTAATCACAATCAAATCCCAGCCCTGTCTTCTTGAGGTTAACATCAGATCGCTTTATTAGAATTGGATTTTGAGTTTTCCTAAAACTCTTCAATCACAGCCAAGTCTGAGGTTGTATAATTTCAATAGGTGGCTGGATCCACACGTGACAAATTGATTCTTTCAATTCTCCCCAGCACTTAAACTCGTTCAAGTCTGGTCTTTTTCAATTTTTTCCCCCCTGCAATCCAAGATTAAAAAAAAATGTATTTTACATGAAAACCCAGAACACACATATATACACTGAAAATGACAGTTTCACCATACCCTAAAGTTTTCTATTCTTTTTATTTTAAAATGTTTGTCTTGACCCAATAATTTTTATTACAATGTTTCATGACCCGCAGCTTGAAAACGATTGGTGCAGTCTCTCCTTTCTTCAAAATTTCACTTCTCCAACACAGATATTTCTTGCTCTGGTTCTTTCTTTTCTTTTAACAATCAAACATCTCATGAGAGTAGTCTGCTCTCCACTTCCCCATCTCTCATTCGCTCTTCAGTTGACCATGTTTTGTCTCTGACCCTACCCTGCCCTGAAGCTGCCCTCACTGAGGTCTAACATCTTCCTTGCTGATAAATCCCACATTTCCCACCCGTTACTTAACCTGGGTTCCCAGCATCCTCTGACACAGCTAGCCACTCCCTCTGGAAAGCTCTCTCTTGCCCTGGCTTCCTGAGGCCTCCTACCTCTCTGCCAGTTAATTCTCAAGATTCACTTCCTCTGCTCCTCTACGAGTCTCCCCAAGGCACTTCTCTTTTCTCACTTAATACACCGTTCTTGAGTGGTTTCATTTTTTTCTCATGTGGGACACCTGAGAAACCCAGCTCAAACTCTTCCTTCTATCCAGTACAAGTCATAGGCCACAGACTCTGATGTGAAAGTTTCCAAACTGGAAATTTTGCTCACTTGAAAATCTAAATATTTGAAACTCCACAGCTTTTGTCTGCTTTTCTTCAGTGACATTTCTCCTCTGAGATAAGAAATGCTATTGAATGAAAAGGAGAGAAGGCAAGGGGTGGAGGGTGAAAAGGGTGGGAAGCTTGAGTAATATTTGCAATGGACATTGTGGTTGATCCCCAATGTCCATTCCATACCAGACAATTAGCCCAAGTCAGTGATGACTGTTACTGCTCCAGGAGCGGACACACCAATGATCCTTGCCAGACGGTCTGAAGGAAAGGACTTATATCTCATCCTTGGGAGGAGGGGTTTCTCTTTCTTCCACTGAATATGAAGACAGAAGCATCACGCAGTAGCTACTGGCACCCACCTTCAGACAATGAGGAGAATCATCCCGAGGATGAAACTTCCCTCCAAGGAGGAAGGCTGAACAGAACCATGGACAGAGCCTGGGTCCGTGATATTATTGAGTTGCTGAATCAACCAACTTCAGAGCCCACCTACCTCTGGCTCCTTGTTACATGAAGTAGTTTACTTTCTTTTTTTTAAAAAAAAATGAGGTTGTATGTTACTTGTAGCAGAAAGCATCCTGATAGATTCAGCATCTCAAAATATTCCATCACACCTGAACTCCAGACCTGTGGACACAAATGCCTGCCAGCCCTTCCCCTTGGCTGTTCCATGGCATCTCACACTCAGTAAGTCTAAAACTGATGTTGTTGTCTTGGGCCCCCTTGTCTCCCTATACCAATCTTCCCTGTTTCTGTGAAAAGTCCCACCATCTGCCTGGGTGTTCAACTCAAAACCTTGGGTAATCTTTGCTATTTCCCTTTCCCTCACACTGACAATTCCCACTTAGGAACTGCAGATTCTACCCGCCGAATAGTTCTCAAATCCATCCACTTCTTTGCCCACCACCATCTCTTGCATGTTTCACCGCACAGTCTCTGAACTGGTCCTCCTTCTCCTTCCAACTGTGTCTGAACACCACAGCCAGAGTGACCTTTCTAAGATGCAGATCTGAATACTTCACCCGTTAAACCCTTTTCTTTCCCTTTTCCTTAGAATAAATTCTAAGTGCCTTCATATGTCATATAAGGCCCTCGGTGACCTGGCCCTCATTGCATCTTTCCAACCTCAATGCAATTCCTTCCTTTCTAGCCTTCATTCCAGCAACGTAGAACTACTTTCACTTTCCAGACATGCTCCCTCTTGTCTTCTGGCTGATGTATCTACCTAGAAAGTCCTCTTCCTCTCCCTGCTTCACCTGAATAACTGCTGTTCATTCTCCAGCGCTCACTGTGATGGTGCCTCCTTTGGGAAGCCATCTCTACCCTAAGGCTGGGTTAGGTGTTCTTCTTCATGTTCCCACAACACCATCTCCTTATCCCAATCACATCACTCATCACGAGGTTGGAATTGTATGCTTATTTATCTATGTCCCCCACCCAGACTGTGAGCTCCTTGAGAGCAGGGACTCTGGCTTACTCCCTGCACCTAGCACTATAATTGAGTGAAAAAGATCATTCTAAATTCAGAAGTAAATTTTGACTTCAAGGCAAGGGTAGGATGGAATGGAGTTGGAGGACAGCATGGAAATAGACATTTTCAAGCAGGGGGTGGGGTGGTGGCAACAGAATTTGATCTGCTGGCTAAGTGTGATGAATAGGTTTAGGTGGGTGGCAGGGCCAGGCCAGGGGAAAAGACCACTGAGGCAGACAATGTAACCCAGGCAAGAGATGACGGTGGCGGGACTTCCCTGGTGGCGCAATGGTTAACAATCCACCTGCCAATGCAGGGGACACGGGTTCGAGCCCTGGTCCGGGAAGATCCCACATGCCGGGGAGCAACTAAGCCTGTGCACCACAACTACTGAGCCTGCAGTCTAGAGCCCACAAGCCACAACTACTGAGCCCGTGGGCCACAACGAGAGAAGCCACCGCAATGAGAAGCCCGGCGCACCGCAACGAAGAGTAGCCCCCGCTCGCCGCAACTAGAGAAAGCCTGCACGCGACAACGAAGACCCAACGCAGCCAAAAATAAATCAAATTTTTTTTAAAAAAAAGAGATGATGGTGGCCTGGACTAGGGTGGTGGCAGTGGAGATGGGGAGAACCAGACAGCCTTGAAAGAGTTATAAAGTAGAATTAACAGAATTGGGGGTAGGTGAAGAAAAGAAAGGAGTATAAGATGAGGTGAGTTCTAATTGGGGCCACGGAAGTCCTAGTGGTGCCTTCATCTTAGGGCGGGGAATCCAGAAGGAAGAACGTGACTGCAGAAGGTGGAAAGCGAGGTAAGGGGCTCTGCTTCGGACATCTGGGGCTGCAGATGGGGCACAGAAGTTGAGAAGGAATGGACAGAGAGGTAGGAGGAAAACCAGAGGGGTAGACAGGAGTCATAGATGCCGAGATAGTGGGAGTCAGAAGAGAAATTACCTGAGGCAAGGGGAAAATACCGCTGAGCCTCCTTTGCATTGACGCTCCCATGACACAGACAAAAGTGCACTAGGGAGGGTCCCCCCGCCCCGCCCCCATTTACTATTTTATGATGTTTTAAAAATCGAAGTATAATTCACTTACAATATTATATTAGTTTCAGGTGTATAACATAGTCATTCCATATTTTTATACATTACAAAATGATCACCACTGGAGAGGGTTCCCTTGATAGCAGTTTTATTTGATTTAAAAGTGAAACTCAGACCCTGACCCACCCACTAATCTTGGGGTCGTGGCAGGAGTAGACTCATCCTGGGGATGGTTGGCCTCTTACCAGGACAAGAAATGGGGGAACATATAGATTCTTACCAGGACAAGAAATGGGGGAACATATAGATTCTTACCAGGACAAGAAATGGGGGAACATATAGATTCTTACCAGGACAAGAAATGGGGGAACATATAGACTCTTACCAAGATAAGAAATGAGAAACATATGGATCATGTCTCTGTGGGCATGGAGAGGCCCAGCTGTGGTGCTGGGTAGGGTTTGGCCACGGCCAGGGAAGGGGTGACTGGAGCCATCTGGTGGACACATGCAGAGGGGGAGGAGACTAATTCGGGACTGGTGTTAGGATTGGGGCTTAGAGGTCTAGGGCAGGGTCAGGGAGCTCTGGACCAACAAGTTCAGTAGCTGTGAGTAGAAGACTTGTCCAGCTCACTGCGCTGCTCCTTGTGAGACTCTGTCACCACCTGCTGGGGGCCGAGGCATGTGAGGTGCACAAACCATTCAGCACCACCCTCCTTCCAGCTCCTTTGTGGCATGGTGTCCCCCCTCCCTGGCATAACCAGTTGAGGCTCCAGTCTGACCATCCACCTCCATCTCCCTGTCTCACTCCCACCCCAAGAATCACTAACCCACAAACACCCTAAGATTACCTGCAGCCAGGCTGGGGCTCAGAAATACTATGAGAAATGATGGGGTCCTACGCTCAAGTGACCCATCTTACCTCCCCATCCCGGGTCTCAATGGTCTTGATCAGAACCATCTTCCGGCTGTGGCTCTCCTGGGGAGGCTCCACCTCAGGCACTGGAAAAAGCAAGATGAGAGGTGGAAGGGAGGAGGCTTGGGATTTCTCTTGTTTTAAGCCCTCACTCCGTCTGGGAGGTGAGGGAGGGGCGGGGAGGGGCAGAGCCTGAGGAGCGAAGGCAAGTGTAGACCAGGACTCAGAAGTTCACGGAGAGAACCAATCCCTGAGCAGAGCCAGAGTAAGAGTCCAGTCAGGGCAGAAATGGACAAGGGGACAGACAGTTGGAAGTCAGACGTGAAAGACTCACCAGTCGTCTTTATACTTAAGGATGCAAAGGAATGGACTGGCACGGAGATCCTGGGGGCGAAGCACTCGGTCAGCTACTCCTGTGAGCCGCTGGCCTCCCCCCCACTCCTCCCCCGCAAGCCCTGACCAAACCCTATCCGACCCGCTGCCTCTCACCGGCTCTCCTCGCCCTCAAGTAGCTTCCGGTAGGTGGCGATCTCGATGTCCAGGGCCATCTTGACGTTGAGGAGCTCCTGGTACTCTCGCAGGTGTCGCGCCATCTCCTCCTTTAGCTGCCGCAGCTCCTCCTCGAGCCGTGCGGTGCCCGCCTGGTACCCGCCGGCTTCCAGGGCAAACTGCTCCTCCAGCTCCCGCAGCTGTCTGAGCAGCGCCTCGTTCTGGGGGTTGGGGTGAAGAGGGGGCGTCAATGGGGGGAGCAGCCTTCATCCTCCACCCCCTGGGCGGGGGCGCACAGCCTGGTACTCACCGTGCCGCGAAGCCCATCCACCTCGCACGTCAGGCTCTGGATCTGGCGTCGCGACTCGTTCATCTCCTGCTTGGCCTGGCGCAGGGCCTCGTGGTTCCGGTTGGCGGCGTCAGACAGGTCCGCGTACTGCGGCCAGGGGGGCAACCCGGCCGTGAGTGGACCAGATGCGCCCTCCCCCCAGCTCTCCACGCTTCCAGGTCCTCCCAAACCCTCCCGTGCCCTGGCACCTTGGACTTGTACCACTCTTCTGCTTCCTGCAGGTTCTTCGCTGCGATGCTCTCGTACTGGGCACGGATGTCCCTCAGCGCCGCCGTCAGCTCGGGCTTCACGGTCGCCTCCACCTCGACCTGCTGCACCTGCTGGCTCTCCACGCTCATCTGCAGGTCTCTCAGCTCCTGCCGCCCAGGGCGAGAGGCCGAGTTCATCGCGCAGATCCCACGCAGGCCGCGCGGTTGGCGCACAGAAAAGAGAAGGAACACTTGAATGAACAGAAGGGGGCGCTAGGGAGTGCGGCGCGCTTGGTACTGCACGGCCCGCGCCACGCCCGTACTAAGCCTCTGGCCAGGTTACGGGGGTGCAGCTCCGCTGCTCGCCACCAGGCGGCGCAGGGGTGTGAGTCAAACCACCTGTAGAGGGGGTTGAGAGCCTGCGTCTACCCTACGAATCTCACTTCTCTTCCTCAGGTCCACTCGCCAGTCTCTTCCAGAGCTTGTACTCCAGCTCCAACGAGACCGCCCCCAACCTCCTGACACCCGGGTCCACCCACCTCCTCGTGCAGCTTCTTGAGGAACTCAATCTCATCCATCAGAGACTCAATCTTGCGCTCTAGCTCCAGGCGGGACAGGGTGGCGTCGTCCACGTCCTTCACGGGGTGGCAGTAGGGGTTCGAGAGCAGGGAGGGGTTGCTTAGGTCGACGAAGAGCCTGGCCCTCCCTGTCTGCCTCTGGAGGCTTCTGGTCGCCTCCCTTTGCCCACAGATGCCACCCTGGATACGCAGGCCGGGGGTAGGAATGGGGAGACCGAGCTCACCTTACGGAAAAGCACGAGGCTGTGCTCCGCATCCTCGCGCTTGCGAGTCTCCTCCTCCAGCCTGGTGGGAGGGGTGTGCAGAAGCTGAGCTCCGGGGTCACTGCCCAGCCGTAAGACCGCGACCCCCAGGATCTGGGTCAGAGGCTGCTACTGCCCAGGACTCTGAGGAGGGGCCTTCAGGCTGCCTGATGGACTTGCCCCATATTTCCCTTTAACCTGCTGGGAGCTGAGATGTGGCCCCTTTATACACAGGGGAGACATAGTAACTCCCCCTTCCTCCCCTCCCCAGAGACTCAGCAAAGTGGTAGACGGGGGTTGAGGGTGTTGCCCGCCGGCGAGGATGCTGCCTGCACACACCCAGGTGGATAAGGCGGGCCACTCCCTCTGGCGGCCGCCTCGACGGCCGCCGCCCAGCCCCGGCCCTGTCCCCTGACCTCTGCTTGAGCGCCGCCAGGTCCTCCGCCAGCCCGTCGCGCTCCACCTGCACCCGGTCTCGCTCGCGGCCCAGCAGCTCTAGCTCCCTCCGCAGCTCGCGCAGCTCCTGCTGGCACAGCTGGTCGGCGCGCGCCGGCTCCTGGCCCCGGGCCTGGCTCAGCTCCCCGCGCAAGGCCGCGTTCTGCTGCTCCAGGAAGCGCACCTTCTCGATGAAGTTGGCGAAGCGGTCGTTGAGCTCCTGCAGCTCCTGCTTCTCGTTGCTGCGCGTGGCCAGAAACTCCTGGTTGAGGGCCTCGGCCATGGAGAAGTCGAGGCGCTCCGAGGGCAGGCGCAGGAGGGCGCCTGCGGCCGCCCGGGGACTGCGGAAGCTGCCTAGGCGCACGGAGGAGCCGGGGGACGCCGAGCCCAGCAGGCGGCTGCTCGAGAAGCGGGAGCTGGAGGAGTAGGAGAGGGCCCCCGGGGACAGCGAGGGCGGTGGCCCGAAGGTGCGGCGGTAGTAGGTGGAACTGACGCCGGACCGGAGGCCCGACGGGTGGCTCATGGCGGCCGAGGATGGGGAATCACCGCTCACAGAGCTTGTCCGGGCGCTGGGAAGGAGCCGCAAACCGCTGCGAGGCGGCTTTATAGCCCTGCGGGCTCAGGGGGGGCATGGGCTGCTCCTCCCACTGGCCTGACGGTGGGGCTATGTGGGGAGGGGGACGCCCCACCCCTGCGGAGCTGCAGGAGCGCCGCACCCTCCCTCCCTGGTTGCCGGCGCCCTGCCTACATGATTCCCCCAGTTGCTGGTGGGGAAGGAGACAGGGATGGCTACCACAGGCCACGGGGGGGCGGGGGGGGGGGGTTCGGGTGTTGGGGGGGTCAGTGCCTTCCAGCAAATATCCGGAGCTGGAGCCTAGAGTGGGAGGGCCTCACTGGAACTGGGGTCCCTGCCTGAAAGAGCTGGTAAAAAGTGGGGGCTAGGTGGACTGTATGTTAAAGGGCAGGCTTCTGGTACATGGGCAGGGAGGACGCAGCCCAGGTGCAGGGAGAATTGACCTGGTTTAGGCCCCAGAGGCTGTGCCTCCACATGGCCCCTGAAGGCTAGGCTCTGCTTTCAAATGCTGTCAGCTGCCCCCTCTGTCACCACACCCAGGGAGATCTGGGGGACGGGAGTGCAGAGGCAGCTGAGGTGGGTGAGGAAGGGCTGCTCTCCCTGAAATCCCCAGGGCTCTGTGAAGGGTTGCTGCCTGGCGCCAGCTCTGCTGCTAATGGACTTGCTTCTTCCCCTCCCCCTCCCCTGGACACTTGGCCAGGAGGTTGCCTGCTGATGTCTCAGCCTTAAAGACACAGATCCCCAATCTACCCCAGGCCCCAACAAGGTGGGCACATCAGAGGGGGCTCAGGGTGACTAGGCCCAGCTCTGGGTCCCACTTGGGAGGGTCTGTGCCATGCCGGAGGCTGAACTGAGTGAGCTAGCGTGTGCTGTCTGGCTTTCCTGGATACTCCCCCCAACCCACTGCTGCTCAGTCAGGGCCTTACAGGAACCGGGGCGATTCCTGAAGTAGGAAGGGGAGGCGCTGAAGGGTAGCAGCCGCTGCCAAGGCTGAGAGATAGACACGCTGGCAGGAACCTGTTTCCAGTGCTGAGGAGCTGCAGGTACCCAGCGAGAGGAGGGCTGGATGGGAAGAGAAGGGGAAAGAGAAAGTGCCCATCCCCATAGGCTCAAGGACTGGAAGAGGAGAAAAAGGCCCAGAACAGAGCCACAGATGCATATGCGTAATAGCACCGTGCACCTGTGTGCACACACATTAGACACACCCAACCACAGGGCCCTTCATACCCTCCCCCACCCCAGAGTTAGCAGGGAGGCTGATGTCTGGCCTTTGCATGTCTAACGGCTTCCAGAACGCAGGCACAGGCTGCCCAGGAGTGGACAGAGGCAGCTTGGATGGTCTGCAGGAGTCCAGGTGCCGAGGCCTGTTGGGCTTGCCAGGAGCTAAGGGGCTGCTGCTGCTGGGGACTCCGGGGCTCTCCAGTAAGGACAGGTCCGCGTAGGATTGGCCCTGAGGACAAGAGCTGGGCGTCTGGGGAAACAGGTCTGGGACTCCGGGCTGCACCTCTGGCTGAGGGGATGAGGAGGGCGGCTCCCTGGCTGGCCATCCCCTCAGCACTGCAGGGCAGAGGGGCCTCCCCGCCTTTGTGTGTCCTCTGAGATGGGCCAACGCCCTCAGGCTCACATCCCTACCGCCTTTGCCTTCTGTCTCCTCTCCAGGCCCCTCCTTCCTTCTGGGCTATTAGTCTCTCCCTGAACAGCTGCCAGGTCCTTCTCCTTGATGAATCTGGTTTGGTTGCCAGGGGAATGGGAAGAGGGAGGATGGGAGAGAGGGGTGGGATGGATAAACCAGGGCGGGTTGCCACTAACTCTTGGAAGTGGGGAGGGGTAGGGTCCTGCCAGGGTTAGGGGAGGGGGCTTGATAGGTGTGAGGAGGGGAGTGGGGAAGCTAAGTGCTTTCTGCTGCAGCCCTGGGCTGAGCCCCAGCTGCCATTGAAGCCCCATCCACTCCGGCCTAGGCCCTGCCCTGCCCTGCCTGCTGTCCTCCGGGTACAAACTGGGGGTCTGAGCCAGTACTTCACGCAAAGGGACAGGTAAGGCCTGGGGAGGATGAGCTCAGGCTTTACTTTTACAGGGAACTGCTGGCAGACCTGGGCCTTTCAGAGTAGAGGCCTCTAGGGCTGGCCCTGGGGAATTACCAGTGGGGTTCCCATCCTCTCCCCTGCTTAAGCTCCCAGCTCACCACCCAGAAGCCTCAGAGTAGAGGGAACCAGGACCACCTCGGCAGGGCTCTGGGAGTTGTAAGGCCAGGGTCTGGCCTGGGTTTGGGAACCAGGCCTGCTGGCAATGCAGAGAAGACTCCTCCACCGTCCTCAGAAAGAGCTGGGCCTGGGAGGTCTTGTGGCCGGAAGAAAAGTAGGGAAGGGTCCCGGTTAAGAGCCAGGGCTCTGGCATCCAGCTACCAAGCTTCCCATCTGATTCCAACACTCTGTTGTACAAATGTAGCCTCATTACTATGTCCTCTCATGGGCTCCAGCAAAAGGGGGAAAATTGTAGTTTCCACCTCATAGTGTTGTTGAGAGGGTTAAATAAATACATGTAAAATACTTAGGACACACGTAATAAAAGCTGAAAACTTGTTAATTTATTACTACTACTATTACAAATTGTCAGCCCCCAAGTACAGTGAAGAAGGATCTGGACTTCCTTTGGACTGTCCCCACTAAGAGCAGTGCTGGACCGGGGTGACAGGAACCCAGTACTTCCTGGCTGATGGAAGGAGGGAAGGGTGGCCTCAGTGCACTGGGAAAATAGTATACTGATCAAAGCACGGACTCTGGACAGACTGCATGGGTTTGATCATGGCTCCTCAACTTAATTAGCTGTATGCTTTGAGTCTGGTTGAGTGATTTAACCTCTATTCTCTCCATTTTCTTTGCCCATCAGTGGGGATGATAATAATAGTACCTAGCCCATAGTGCTAGAGGTGGAATTGAGTTCCAGTATGTGAAGCACTTAGTGCTTGGCACATAACACATGCCATATAAGTATTAGCCAGCGTTATTATTACCCCTCCTCCTTCTGCTGTCCTTGGCTGCCCTGGCGAAAGCTCAAAGAGAAATAACCACTGTATCCAGAGGTTTGCAAGGCAGGTAAGCAATGAAGTTTAGGTTACTGGCAAGAGAGCTGCTAAATGACAGGCCATGGACTCAAAGCTGGATGAGGAGGGGTGTGTAGACAAGAGAGGGTGGGGTATTGGGAGAGTAAAGAGGTCCATAGCTGGACTTCCAGGCAAGGCCAAAGACCAGTCACAGTACAAGGAACTGAAAGAGGCACTGAGAGGGTAGGAAGTTGTTTTCGGAGAGCAGGGTGCATGAATTCATGATTCTGGAGCTGGGGTATTTATGGATAAGATTCCGAGGGTGGGGCTTCCCTGGTGGCGCAGTGGTTAAGAATCCGCCTGCCAATGCAGGGGACGTGGGTTCGAGCCCTGGTCCAGGAAGGTCCCACATGCCGTGGAGCAACTAAGCCCGTGCTCCACAACTACTGAGCCTGCGCTCTAGAGCCCGTGCTCCGCAACAAGAGAAGCCACCGAAATGAGAAGCCTGAGCTCGGCAACGAAGAGTAGCCCCCGCTCGCCGCCACTAGAGAAAGCCCACGCGCAGCAAAGAAAACCCAACACAGCCAAAAATAATAAATTAAAAAAAAAAGATTCCCAGGGTGTTTCTAAGGAGTGAGCGGCTAAGGTGGAATGCTGGGAAAGGTCATGGGAGAAGAGATCAGGCCATCAGACTGGGCACTTACTAGCTGTGTGACCCTGGGCAAGTTACATATCCTCTCTGAGCTTCAGTTTCTTCATCTGTAAAATAGGAATGATGATACCTTCCTTCCAGAGGTGTCATGAGATCTAAATGAGGTATTATGCATAAAGCGATTAGCATGTTGTGAGGTTCACAGTAGGTGCTCAACACTGTTGATTGCCTTCTTCCCCTCCCATGTGACAGAGAGGAAACAGACACACAGAATCAATGACATAACCCTAATTACTTGTACCTAAGGGTTAGCTGGCATCTCCCTGCCCCTTGAGGTCTAGGATTGGCTCAACCTCCACTCTACATCCTGGGGAAATTCCAATGTCCTCCCCAAGATCTCTTTGCCTTCCTGTTGGTTCCTCTTTGCATCCCTAGCTCCAGGTGCCTGCTGCCCCTGAACTGGCTGACTTTACAGCTAACTCTCCACAGTGTCTCAGATGTTGAACTTGGCACCGTCCCTCGGGTCCTGTGATCCCCTTTCCCATCACTTGGGTAGGAACTGAGGCTCAGAGGGACAAAGTTGCCTGTCTGAGGTTGCACAGTTAGCAAATTACGGCTTCCTCTGCAGGAAGACACGTCCTGGTTGGTCAGGGCTTGCTGGTGTTCTGTGTTCTGGGCCTGCAGGAGCCCAGATGAGCCCCAGCCAGAAGGAGTCCACCGGCGTGGAATCCTTTCCCCATTATCTCCATTTGGGGGCTCCACTCCTCCCTGTTAAGGAGCACCCTGGGTATCTTCTCCATCTCATCAGTTCTCTCACTCTATAATATAACAATAGCTAACATTTCCTATGTGCCAAGCACTATGCTAAGCATTTTACACGTGTTATCATTTTTAATCCTCACAATAACCCTATGACATAGGTACTACTACTATTCCCATTTTACAGTTGGAGAAACTGAGGCACGGAGAGGTTAGGCAACTTGCCCAACGTCACACAGCTAGTAAACTAGTAATCTGTTTATATGTCTGACTCTCCTGCTCCCTGACAATATGATATTTGAGGGCAGCCATCAGATCTTATTCACTTTTGTGTCTGTGGTGTCTAGCACAGGACCTAAGTCAAACAGCTGTTGGTTAAACTGAAGGGAACCCAGAGGCACCTGAAAAAAATATTTCCCGTGGTTGTCGAGTCAGGAAAAGAGAGGTGTGTTGCTGCCACCTTCTGGCCAGATGCTAGAATGACATGTCTGCAGTCGGAATCCATCCACGTTTATTGAGTTTTAACACTCAAGGCTCAGGAACATTGGAATTTGGGGGAATGCTCCAAAACTATTTATTATGACCTCCTTTTTAAAGATGAGGGGACTTCCCTGGTGGTCCAGTGGTTAAGACTCCACGCTCCTGATGCAGGGGGCCCAGGTTCGACCCCTGGTCAGGGAAAT